GTTGAGTGTGTTAGAAGCCGTTTGTCAACGTATTCATAAGCCTAATCTGTGTGTCCAGAAGGACAGCATTATTCGTTTGAAATTGTTTTAGTAGCAACTTGTTCTGTCGGTTTGGCTCTGGTTGGCCATGGTGTCATATCTTGTGTCACAGTATACTAGTAGTCCTTACAAGTTCGTTAAGTGCTTTCGCAGTTTTTCCTGTTATTACCTTAGTGCTAGGATTATCATTTTCATAGGTGTTGTTTCTTCTCACTCCATTTCTCTTTATTAGTATCTTTCTGGATTGTTTTTCATTAGTACAACGTAGCTTCCTGAGGAGTGTTGTGCGAAAACTAGTTCGAAGTACAATTTTTGTTCATCATTTCTTCCACATCACATTTTTTCTTTCTTCCATGTTCTTCACTGCCGTCGTATACACTCGTTTTTTGAATACAATAAAAGCCTTTGTGAAAATGTCGGTTCAGCTCGTTCTGTTGATCGCAATTCTAATAATAATATTATTATTATTATTATTGACTGGTTTTGAGGGAAAGAGACAAACGGGAAAAGTCTGAAGAAAAAATTGACTGTCACCACCAGGACTCGAACCAGGGACCCTCGCTTGTAGCCAGCGATGCTCTAACCGCTGAGCTATGGTGTAGTCGTCATCCAAGCAGAGACCGTTCAACGTTTTCTTCAGACTCCGTAACTCACACTTCCATTATTATTATTATTATTATTATTATTATTATTTTAATATGGCAATAAGTAGGACGAGCTGAAGCGACATGTGGACTACTTTATTAACAATGTAAGCGATGGAGACGATGCAAGAAACAACCTAAAGGGTAAGGAAAAATACATGCCGTGCTCGTCATGGTTATCTTTTGCAGTTACAAGTTTTGGAAGCTGTTTGTCAGCGCATTCATAAGCCGAATTTGTGTGTCCAGAAAGATAGTGTTATTACCCTAAAATTGTTCAAATAATGTTCTGTTGTGTAGTGTGGCAACGTTGTTGCCACTTGTGCCTAAATGTGTTTTGTCACCTTCTTGTTTATTATTGTTATTATTATCATTCGTTCTCACTTTTTTTGTTTTTGTTTTTTGTTGCTGATACACACTTGTCACGCTTAGTTCTTACTTGTATACCCTTGTTTTCTGCACACTTTTGTGAGAAATCGCACCTCGATATTCTAGTGCTGTCATTGTATCGTGTCACCCTACCTTGATTGCTATATTATTTCCTTTGTTCTCATTTTGTTCTTTAGTACAACGGTGATTCCTGAAGAGTGTTGTACGAAAACTTGTTCGAATCATCTTTTTTTTCCATTGCCCTTTTTCTTCTTACATGTATTTTTCCTTACCCTTTAGGTTGTTTCTTGCATCGTCTCCATCGCTTACATTGTTAATAAAGTAGTCCACATGTCGCTTCAGCTCGTCCTACTTATTGCCATATTAAAATTATTGTCTCCTCGTCGAATTTTTAATTATTATTATTATTATTATTATTATTACTGCATCCATGGATGCAGTGAATGGGATTTCGGTCTTTGACCACTTTGTGGTGGGTCTGATCTACTCACCTCCCACCGTTTAGGAGCTGCATCTGCGCCTTGATCCAAGAGGGTGGTGGCGTTCCTGCGGATGCGGAAAACTGGGCCTTTGGCCGAGTCTCACGCGAACCGTGAAATTTTTTTTTATTTTTTTTTTTATTATTATTATTATTCAACGCAATAAATAGAGTAAGCTGCGCACTCAGTACAAACACCATAAGCAAAACTTGTTTTCATGTAAATAATTAAGCTTGTTCCTAAACGTTTTCGTCGCCATCTCATCAGAGGATTACTGGCAAAACAAAATTAGCTCTAAACTCAATATATATACGCACACTGCAAGTAATAATTTAGACCCTAACTAGCGCGAGAAAATGAGAGCTGAAAGAAACATTACATCAATTAACGATATCAGGTGACAACAGATGCGATAAATTCACCACTAGAAAGTAACCATGCACCACAAACGAGAACTACTGATCTAAATTCACAAACAATTTCAACGTAAACAAATTCTTTTCCTGCCTACACAAAATCGGCTTGGTGGTAAAAATGTAGATAGACTCCAATACACGCAGATACCTTTGACTACGTGAACGAGACCAAACAGAAAAGCAATCATCAGTATAACTAGAACGACAATCACTATTCTGAACAAGATGGTTTGCAACAGAAGATTCATACACCCTAACACCACTACTAGAACCAGTACATACTTTAGGAACAAGCTTAATTATTTACATGAAAACAAGTTTTGCTTATGGTGTTTGTACTGAGTGCGCAGCTTACTCTATTTATTGCGTTGATTACATTTTTATCTCCACGTAAGTTTCTTAATTATTATTATTATTATTATTAGACTCAATCTCGTAGCATGTGCACGGATTGCTAATGTGTGTGTGTATTCAAACTAATGGCTCGCACAATCAGTCTTCAGGTCTCTTAGCCAAGTGGTGATGTTTATGCCTAGTGCACGAGAGGTTCAACTGCTAGGAAATTATAATGGGGAAATTATAGAAAAGAAAATATTAATAAGACAAAGAGAATAAATTTCAAGGCACCTGAATAAACGGAGTCCCACATACAGTAGTCAGCAGCTCAGCAAATTGCAGTGCGGTGCACAGTAATGCACTACGTGGACTGGAGCGGACAATGACGCCAGCATCGCACTGTCATCCAGATGTGAGCACTGAGCAGCTCCTACCGATTAGTAATCATGGTAATGCACTACGTGGACTGGAGCGGACAATGACGACAGCATAGCACTGTCATCCAGATGACTGTGAGCAGCTCCTCGCGATTAGTGCTGACCAAACACTCTCTGCAGAGCGCATTGGTTTCACAAGCAAAGCCGTACAGCCTACACTACACCTTGCACTGCTACCATGGTCACAGGACAAGGCCAGGCCACCGGTGAGGCTCTGCATGAAAAGCCGCGAGGCTTTCAGTGTATCGGTGCGCTCGCTGCGCTCGCCCTCGCTCGCTCGACGCTTTTGTCGATCCTGGCCTGCATACGTTCTCAGTAATTAAATAATTATTGGCACTTCAGCATTTTTTTGGCCCGGAACAAAAATTAATGTTATGATGCGCAAAGCGCACCACGCATAATTCGTTGTATTAAATGCGTGGTGCTCTGTGCCGTCTATAGGGTAGCTCTATTCGAATCATGATCGAGCACTCTGATAATATTATCTACAGTGCCCGTGTTCCCAACTCATCACAACCACGCGCTCTTCAGCCTAACCATACAGACACCAGCAAGGACACTTCCGTTGAGAGATAATATTGCTCCACGGCTCTAGACAGCTGTTTCGCTCCCTGTCGGAGCTCATCAGTAGAGGATAATAATGATGATAAAGGAGGAATGATCATTCTTATACACCAGAAATGGCGCAAATGCGCGCTTTCCACATATATCAATGGCATATGCAAGCTGCTAAAATGGTAAAGTGTGAGAACAGCGATAAATAATCATAGTACGCGCTCATTGGTGGAGAATCACACCACACAAGCGACGAAAACCTGACGCGGAATACTGATGCCAATGGAAAGTACATGTATGTTGTTTATTATTATGATGTTGCAATGTCCATGTATGCAGGCGAGGCGAGACTCACCGCCGAGATCCCCCAACGCGACAGGCTCGGTTGCCGTTCAGGATTCACATAGACCTGTCCGCCCGTCAACAGGATCGACAGCGGGAGGCCCCACTGATGCCGATGTCCCCACTGATCGGCGCCCGATCTTACTGTAGTATACTACAGCAGTACCATGACTCCATGACTCATGAGTACATGCTACAAATACGTGTATGCAAAAGTCCATAACCTCTTGTATTGCTGTTAAGTTGTAGTTGTACAGTGCTGCCAACTGATATACGACCCCCCTATCGGTACGCTAGCCGCGTTAGCGATTCGTACGAGACGCTAGGCGGTCGGATTTCATTTGCCAGTACTGTAGCTTGTATTGGTGCATGGCTTAGCTACATGTCGAAGTTTACGCATATGCTCTGCCATACCCGTGTGAGTAATGAAAATTTGTTTCGGTAAATCTTTTGGAACACCTGTAATCTGTGCCTGGGCCAAGTCCCAGCCTCGTACAACCTAACTGAAGTGCTGCTATAACGCCTTCAAACACCCCCTACTTCGAGCAAAAATGCGACGAAATGCTGACTGCTCATTGTTCAAGCTGGCATTTTGGAGCTCGTGCGACGCCCCCATGTCCATGTACATGTAATCGACGCTTTTCCACACAACTATGAACGCTGATTACCTGTAGAGCTTCCTCTAGCCGCGCAAGCCAAAAAGTCACGCTGGCTTTCCACATTATTAATAATAGAGTGCACCGGCTCTGTAAATTATCAGAGTGCTCAATAATGATTCGAATAGAGCTATCTTATACACGGCACAGAGCACCACGCATTACAACGAATGATCTACAAGTACTTTTACAAGTACACGTAATCCGCGCTCAAGAGGTTATAATAATAATAACAATAATAAAATTAACGAAGGTAAGTTTTAGGTCGCAAGTACCCACGCCAATACACACATCCAGTCGAATGAGTCACTTGTAGTTCCTTGGTCCTTTTTATTTATTTTTAAATTATCCTTGGCTGTACATCTGAGTGCAGACCTAATACGTACATGTTCCTCTTTTTAGTAGTATACGCCTACGACCTCGTCTACACGTAACTAGGATGACCCAAAGGCAGACCGCCTATCGTGGGGTCCTTTACATTGAAGCCCAAGTCTAGTGTCATAGCGGAGCGCCCTTATAGTTATAGTTATACCACACGCCACAAGCGAGACTGTGCTGCCAACCACCAGCCGCAATGTGACGTCACGGATAGTTATACCACACGCCGACGACTGTGCTACCAACCACCAGCCGCAATGTGACGTCACGTAGCGCAGGTACATGTATATAAACCCTAGGTTTGCTACAGTCTCCAACTAGTTCTCCAGGATCAGTGTCTGTGACCGGTTGGTTTTCTAGTGTCTTCCCTCAAACACCTTGCTTCCCACCAGAGATTGATTATTTGCGTGCCTGAGTAAGTTGCCGTCTTCCAACAGATATCAGAATCAGGTTCTCTCTGTGTAGATCCCTCTAGCACCTTGCTAAGTATCGTCCTTGCAGAAGACTTGGGATTATTCGATTCTCGGTCTGAAGTCGGCCGCGAATTGTGAAGTTTACTGTAAGTATCTGTTTGTCTGTCTTCCTTCTTTCAAGCTGTTTGTCCTATATCTCTATCTGTACCACTTTGCCTCTTTCTCTCTCTCTGCCTTCCGCTTTATCTTTCTCTCTGTTCCCCTTAGCCTTTCACTCTTTATTATACAGTCCATCTCTCACTATTATTCTCGCTATGAGTTTCTCTCTCTCTAAGCCTCTCTCTCTCTCTCTCTCTCTCTCTCTCTCTCTCTCTTTCCCCCCTCTCTCTCTCTCTCTGTCTTTCTATCACTGTTGTGGTTTTTTATTTGAATTCGCAAAACCAAACAGGCAATAAGCCCAATTACATGGAAGCGAGTAAAAGAATGCTAAGAATGAGGCATTTTGGTGAATATTATTTCAAGTAGAAATACTGATCCCGGGAGGTACTACAAATACATGTAGGTACTGTACAATGAAAATCTGAAAAGGCCATGGTACTGATTGATTGATTGATTGTTTTTTTTTAACTTCGCAAGTTCAAACGGGTTCCTTGCTTAGTTACATGAAAGAGAAGGATAGAATTTTCCAAAATCCTAATGAGCAACAGCATAGGCAAGTTTATCATAGAAGTGGTGAATTCGCACAGTAACCGTGCACTTCAGCTATTCTCTCCTCCCTCTTCTGAATTTGACTCTCCGCTGGCCTTCTCTCCTCCCATCCCTTTACATTGTATTGGGCCTCTGCAGCTTCCCCCCCCCCCACCACCACCCCACGCACACACTACATTGTCACATAGCACAACTCAACCATTCGCTACCCTGTTATTGAGCACTCCTGCTCGTTTGGTCTCGCGAATCCAGATAAAATCAATCAAATCAAGTGGAGTACTATGCGAGCGAGAATACTGAGAAGAAAGGAACATGTCAAAACCTGACGAAACACAAGTCTCTCTCTCTCTTTCACTATCTTTCTCTCACTTTGCCCCTCTGTATCAGAATTCTCATTGTCCATCACGGACCGGAGACCACCTATCCCTTATCCCAATATCTAGTAGTGTCTGCTTGGGTCCTCTCGTACGCATATCTGCTAGTGCAACAAGAAAGGACTGAGGAAGCAGCTAGCGTTCCAAGTGAAGAGTTTACCTTCGTGTTGACTCAAGCTAATGACTTAGGTCCATCAGAGATCATACCAGTCACTTGTCATCATGGTCATGACTAAGGAATTCGGTTGTGGCCAGGAAACTGCACACTCGCAGGGTGAAAGCTGCGAGACCAAACAGAACAGAGTGTGTCGAGCCATGATCAGGAAACGCTGAGTTCTACTGACAACATTGGTTAGCTAGGCACGGCGAATTCTTGTTGATGCCAGGACCCCAGTTCACCAGTACTTCAAGGACATATCTTGGTCGACATGCACCAGCGGGTTGAGAAAATGACCAAGGTGGCTTGGAGAAAGGACGTCTTCTCCGCGTGTCTTTGCCGGCATCAAACAATAATATTTGCTTTGGCTCTAGCCTTTCGCTGTGCAGACTTGACCAGGGAGTCGTACAATACCAGTAATTTAGGACTCGACTTTACATCGTGTACATAGATCAGCATGAACTAGGGTGCGTAGCCGCTATGACTGCACAAACTCTGGTTTCGGGGGCATCGCCATATTTTCAAAATGGAGGGCGACGCTTATTGAATTTTGTATGGTCGTGGTGAGCCATGAAATTGGAAATATAACGAACAAATAACACGACTGGATACAGGTACCTCTGCACATCATACGTGAAAAATGGAAAGGAATATCTTGGCCCAAACCGGAGTCATGAGGCTACAAAACTTACATCGACAGTTCCATCTTGCGCCACATTTTTTATAATGTTGGCGTTGAATCTGTTGTGTTTCTTCTCAACAAATAATGTTTGATTAACAGATGGCTCAAGTCGGTAATGATTGCTACTTCTTCTACTACTCGAGCTGCAAGAAGGGACGCGCTTGTCCATTCCGACACAGTGCTCCTGCACTTGGCAAGGAAGACGTCTGTCAAGATTGGGCCAAAGGAAGCTGTATTGTTCCGAATTGTGCACGTCGCCACATGGGAATACATGTAAGTAAAGCGAGCCTGTGTGGTTGCTTTGCCTGCACACTCTGTCGCCTCTTTCTCTGGTAGGGTCCAGAAACTAACCGTGGTTGGTCCCCTGGGCCATGGGGAGGGAGAAAGATCCAAGTGCGATCAGTGTGTGTGGCACGTGGTGTGAGCTGCCTTTGGAGTGAAAAACTTGCCAGGGCTTTCTAGGTTCAGCCCGGTCCCATAGCTCAGTGGTTAGAGCATGGCTAATGACAAACAAGGTCCCGGGTGGGAGTCCTGGTGGGTCTCGCGATTTGTTTCTCTTTTCAGGCAGTTAACTTCCCCAACTGATCCTTTGAATTATTATTATTATTATTATTTGAAACTCGGGTGTTGAGCCATAAATAAAATGTAGAAAGGAAAAGGACATTATGGATACGAGTTAAGAGTAACTCTTCATCACTGTAATTGGATACTATAATACAGTCAGAAATTGCAATATCTAGGCACAAAACTGACAAGAGTACTGAGACATTCGACGTCCTGACACCTAGCTTCAACACATCTCAGTAGCGCTAACCGACAGCCTTCTAACTTGGAAGGTTCAAGGTTATGAAAAGACCAAAGAGGGGAAGGCAAGCGCAATGAAAACGAGCAAAAGCCACAGTCCCAACGGAACAAAGAATGTCAATTGTTACTCGACCATGACGAGACCAGTACGATATTTGACAAAGACGTCTAACTACAATTTGAAGCAGCAAAGCAGCACACCACCCAACTTGGGTGGGTCATAAATATTGAAGATACGTAAAGAAACGGGAAGCTTTGCGAAAACGAATTGTACAAGTCGAAAGCAAAACTCCTACAGTACTCCTCCTGCATGACATTGTGATGGACTAGTTGACTACAAAACAAGTTGTTTCACACGACGTTCCAATATTCAAACAATAAGCTGATTTTTCAGCCGAATCTGATGTATTTTCGAGCCGAGAGAAAAGCTGACCAGGCGGTAAAAACGCGCTGATTTGAGGAAAGCCTAGTGCACGGTGATGCATGCTGAGTTTCTTTGTTTTCGATGTGGTCTTGGTGACTGTATTGCAGAAAGACCGTGGCAGCATGCCATGCTACTGGGAGTCTCAGCGAGTGGGGTGTACCAAGCCGTTCTGCCCATTCAAGCATTTGAAGCCCCGTCCTGATGCGCCTCTGCAAACTGGCCAAGTTCAACCCACTACGACCGCATCCCAAGGAAATCCAGTCAAAGGTAAGAATTTGCTGTTTGCTGTAAGACTGTACCTAGCCCTTTTGCCAATGATAGCGTGTGTCTGAGGTGCTTTTTTTGAGTCTATAGAAATCTGCACCGCAAAATGGCTGCAACACTGCTTTTAGTTGTATGAAGCAAGAAGGCCCATTTCACCTGAAAAATTAGGATAATCAAACAAACATGTTACACGTCCTTGGTACGGAAAGGGCTGCGGGAGTTGCGTATTACCGGTTACTTGCGTACTCTTGCTCGTGGTGAGCAAGAGTACGCAAGTTGCTGAATATGGCGTATCCACACTGCTTGCCAAGAATCAAGACAATCCATCAAAGGCATCATTGATGCTAACCCTTACTGCCCTATCTACTCTTCAGGTGGACAGCGCAGCGCTACTATCCGGACTATTGGCAAATCTCAAAAAAGACTGCGACACGCCCGAACACAAGGGGTTGCCACCGACTCAACTGCCGCTGACTCCAGAATGGATATGAGAAGAGCAACTCGAGCAATGAGCCGATACCATTGGGTTCATGCTCGTGATCAGCTTAATCAACAGCATAGATCTGAGACTGCAAGGCGTGGTCCAGGTCCTTTGTTACCCATGAAAAGGACAGCATCTGTTCAGCAAGAAGACCAAACAAAGCCGTTAGCCAAACGACGCAGGACTGAGGTACTGTATCCATGTACATCAATTGGTATATCAATGAATGAGTTGTGTGTGCGTTCGTGTGTGTGCGTGTGTGTGTGTGTATATGTGTGTGTGTGTGTGATTGTGTGTGTATGTGTGTGTATGTGCATGTGTGTGCGTGTGTGTGTATGTATGTGTGTGTGATTGTGTGTGTATGTGTGTGTGTGTGTGTATGTGTGTGTGTGTATGGGTGTATGTGTGTGTGTGTGTATGTGTATGTGTATGTGTGTGTGTGTATGTGTGTGTGTATGTGTGTGTGTGTGTATGTGTGTATGTGTGTGTGTGTGTGTGTACGTGTATGTGTGTATGTGTGTGTGTGTATGTGTATGTGTGTGTATGTGTGTGTGTGTGGGTGTGTATGTGTGTGTGACTGTGTGTAACTGTGTGTGATGCGTGTCTGTCTGTGTCTGTCTGGCTGTCTGTAACTGTCAGCGCATGCATGCACCAATATGCTTGCTTCTTCAAAGTTATAGTGGCATTGCTTTCATTTAGGAAAAGGAAATTTTTCATTTTTGCAGACGTGAATCTAGAGCACAACTTTCTAATCCTTTCTTTCTGAAGGACACATGCAAGGATATGTGTGTCCTGGTGCTGTCCTGGTGCTGACAGTTAACAGATTCATATGCCATTCTATTTGTTGACGACTTTGGCGGTGTCCTTTGAGGATCCCCACCGTTTCACCCGTTATCCTTTAGTTGCAGAACTTCAACCTCACGGGCGGTTACTTTGCAATATTTTATTTTGCGTTCTTGAGTTCCTGGGTAAACGTGTGTGCATCTCTTCATCTCGATGTGTGGCTGATTTGGGGGCTTATTGGACCTCAAAATGATGTCAAGTTGTTTTCCTTCTCGCCGGTGGTTTGTAGCACTGTAACTATTGCAGTACCACCAATGCTACTGACAACTGCAGTGCACAACATTAGAAGACCAAAATTTGCACCGAATTTGAAAGTGAAGCTTAAATGTGCACCACTATTTGTGCATGGCTTGCTTTCTTCATTTTTTTGTTGTCGAGCTGTTCCGCAAAGGTGCCATCCGCTCTTTGCGCCAGTTATGTGTATAAATAACTTACAACTTTATTAATAATCTACGTGGAGATAAAAGTTTAATAATAGCTATGAAAAGTATGAATGCCGCAGACATCACCAGGCAACATGACAATTTGTTCAAGGTGGAGCGGAGCGTGAAAATCGATTTTGGAAACACACAAAACCAAATCTTGAACAAAATGTCATGTTGCCTGGTGATGTCTGCGGCATTCATACTTTTCATAGCTATTACAACTTTATTCACTGCTTTAAAGTGCTTCGTAATAATTATGTCCTGCAGCTGGTTTACATGTTGCACGGTCTTAAATCATCAGCCGATGCAAGGCCTCTCAGATGTTTTAAGTTTCTCTTTTTCTCTCTCTCTCTATCTCTTTCTCTCTCTCTCTCTTTCTGTCTCCATTCTTCTGACTGCTCCATAGCCTGTTGCTGTTCCAGTGTCCCCACAACCGTCCACCGCTGCTGGTCTTCGCATCAAGTCTTTAGATGAAATCCTTGCTGAGAAACGCAAGCATCACGCGACCGTTAGTGACAGCACTGTATCTGCAGAAGACACCTGTCAAAGAAGACCGGCTGATTCAACCAGCAAGGAATCACCATCAGTAGTTTCCAGTTCAGCAAGCAAGAATGTACGTAGTCCAGTACTGAATACTGCACCTACCAAGAGTTCCACTCCAGCGACACCACCTGCTAAGATAACAAGACTCAGCAGTCATTCTTCTGGTAAGTTGCATTGCTGATGCAGGTATTATAAATGTTTTTGAAGACATTACTTTCGAACTGTTGTCCTTTCCTGTGCCTTTTCTTAAGCGATACCTTTCTCTTGTTGTTTATCTGTATGGCCTGGCTTGGCATTTACTGTTTGGTATTTGGGATATCTGCTTAACCTCTCGTTACATGTTGATAGTGAGTTCTGCTTCCTTCTCGTGTGGAAAGACCATTTGCTTCAACACGGCTGTAGTGTGCTACAATACAGTTTAAGGGCTTCGCAAATAGTTAGCGTTATTCCTGACGTAGGGGTTGGTAGTAGGTGATCTTGCGTGTATGATATGTATGTTCCAGCATTCTATGGCTAATGGGATGCTATAATCTGGCTTGATCCGTTGTAAATATATTAATAAAAGGCGCTTGCTTCTTCATCTGTACTGTTCAGCTAAGAAGGAAAGCCCAGCCACTAAGAAGGTGTCCCAAAGTGAAGGAAGTGAAGTTACTTCCACTGCTGATACTACTACTATGAAGTCCGATGCCAAGTCTGAATTTGATTGGTAAGTGCTTGTTACGGGCTAATTCTCATCACACTGTGCCTTACATGCCATGCGTTAATGTGTCCGAGTTTTCACACTGCACATTTCTGGATTCATGGTGCGAATCAAATTTGCATGGATTCAGCGGATTGAATTTTCCCTATTTTATAGGCAACTGTATGGTAGGTCTGAACTACTCATCTCCGACCGCATTAGAAGCTGCATCTGAACTTTGATCCTCCAGGGTGATTGAGTTCCTATGGGTGTGAAAATTTCAGTCTACCCGAGTCCCATAATAATAATAATAATAATGACAGTTCGCATTTCACTCATTGCATGAGGTCAACGCATCTGTTTACAATTTCGAGCCAAGCAGCTCTATCAGAAGCAGATTGCACAGCATCCAGAAGCGACAGATTAATGCATTGTAAGTCTTTCTTGACAACGTCGATCCATCTCAGACGTGGTCGTCCTAGGGGTCGTCGTATGTCTGTTGTGTTGATTGACATTAGGAGGGCTTGGAACGAGGACGATTCTTCGCCTTCCCTCACTACATGGCCGAACCACAGCAGTCTCCGTTGCCTGCAGACTTGAGATAGTGGGGTCTGCTCGGTTCTGGCATACAGCGCTGTGTTCGAGATTCGTTGTGGGTACGTGATACCAATGATGGTACGTAGTTTTTTTCCGGTGCCATACATTGACGACGTCGGTTAATGTTTGCGATAAGGTCCAAAGCGCACAATTATACAGCAAGACAGGCAATATCAGGCAGGAAAACATACACAGCCTGGAATTCAGGTTGTGGCGTTTCCATGGAATGCTTGCAAATGCCCGATTTGCAACAGACACTCTGGCTGCTATGTCTTCTGCTGTGCCTAGCATACTCCCCAGCAGCTTCACCGATTTCCAGGAATCATCTTCCTTGGTCACAGTGAAATATTGAGTTTTTGCCACGTTCAGCTTCAGATTGTCATCCGAGAAAACGGGTTCACACACACGGACGGTTTCTTCCACAGATGATCGCTCGTTCTGATGGGCAGTGGTGTCGTCTGCGTATTGTGTGAAAGTTGCTGGTAGGTCTGCCGAGTCCCATGCTAGACGTAATTTTTCTTTTTTTTTATTCCGTCATTTTTTTGATTTTATTTATAAACATGAGTGGTGCAGTTATTACTACTGCAGTTACAACATTGTAGTTTGAGTATATCACATCCAAGACATTCCCATAGCAGTATCTAAATGTCCCTTCGTATTGTCTTACCGGCTGTAGATAACTTCTTATTCTTTTGACTGTTCTAGGCTCGATGACATCGACCTGCTTGATGACGATGCATTTGAGAAAGCGATGAGAGAATTTGTTGGTGACGTAACCTACGTCGACTTGAATAAGCCAGACCTTGACGAAACAGTCAACAGCAACGATCTACTCCTGGAAGCGGAGCTGATGATTTAGACTAAGAGAACTGTTGTGTATTTCCACATTAAGCAGTGTGCTCACCATTTGCCATGTCTACATCATGCCTAATCGCCATTGGGGATATACACCCGGTTTTTTCCCTCTCTACTGCGTCCGTCGGCGCGAGGGTTTTTTCCCGGCTGGCTCGGTCCAGGAAAATTAACCTGACGGCCCCAAGTGGTTTTGCGTCATGCCCTATTTCAGCTATCCGCTGGCTCACTTACATGTATTTGGGCATCTTCGTCTAATGCTTGATTATTATTACTAATAATGCTTTGAGCGCTGCTTGATATATCAGCATAATATAATGCTAATTTGAATGCTCGCTTTTCACTTTCTCGCTGGCTGTGTTGTGCAGAATCATGTGCCAACCTTTACTACATGTATATTGCATTGTCATTTCATTCAGTACAATGCAAACATATTATTATTATGGCCATATTTTCGACAACGCTGCTCAAACTTGATATGAATCAACTCACCTACTCCGAAGCCACATTCTGCCAGTCTGCAATAGGTTCTGGCACAGACCAGAAGTTAATGTTGCTTTGAAGGATGCTAAGGAAACGTGCTATCCCGGCTCCTAGACAGCAGAATACTTGTACCAAATTGGAATGAGTATAACTCAGACAAAGAACTGAGGGTAGAGAGTAATCAGTAATGCTAGATCAATATACAGTCGTCCCTCTCTAATCCGGCACTTGTTTATCCAGCACCCTTGCAAACCGGCACACTTTCTGGCAAAATGGATTTTTTCAGTTCATTTTCTACGCTTTAATCCGGCACTTGAATTCCGCCTCCAGCAGCGATTTTCTGCAACAAATCACTCAAACTCTACATAATTCGATTTTCTAATCCAGCAGTTGTATATCGCAGACTGTCAGGGACCATTGTAACATACACAACATATGCAACATACACTTGGGAATATCCCATGCCAGTACATATGATATTCCTAAGTGTATAACTTATAGACATGCATTCCACAAAGTACTTGGTTTGACACAGAAAATCCCTACGTTTTGACGTACGACACAAACATGTATGATAACATCTGGGTCGGGCTGGAGGGCAGGATTTCATAATCCAGCACCCTTGTTTATCCAGCAGAAAATGCAGTTGCAAAAGGTGCCGGATTAGAGAGGGACGACTGTGTATATATGTATATATAAAGAACAATAGAAGTATTTCTTGCGTCGGCAACAAGTGCTCAATGGCCTAAGACAGAGCGGGGTTATACACTCAGACACAAAGGATCTCCAAGTTTCTCAGTGTTGCTACTCTGAGTTTCGTGCAAAAGCACTCCATTCAAGCTTCGATACGGGAACCACAAGACATCCATCAAGCTTCCTGGATAGAGCAAATCCACGGGCCTCTCAAAGCATGTGTGGGAATTAAAAGATAATGGCAAGACGCACGACATCAAGTGGCGAGTGGTCCAGAAGGCCAAGGCCTACAGCAACATAACAAAAAGATGCAGCCTGTGCCTCGAGGAGAAGGCGAGAATAATCACTGCCGACAGGAGATTGAGCCTCAACAAGCGGTCGGAGTTGATATCCAAATGTCGACATCAAAATAAATTCATGCTGTCAACACCGATAACATGATCTTCTCGGCACCCTGCCTCCAGCCAGTAGGGCCAGTTGATAGCTCTCTGCCGCCTTGTCACCATCATCATCTTTGCACCGCGGAACTCACTAGCTAGGCAAGCTCAGTTTTATCACCTTTATCCTTTATCACCTTAGTACCGCGATCCTTACTGGCTATGACACTGAATCGGATATGAGTTGATAGCGCCCCTAGCGCTTTCTGTTATCCTTGTCCCGCCATACTGGGCTTTAAATAGTGGGTTATTTTTCTTGATGTTCATATCACCTGATGAGTGCCTGAGATGGTATGAAACTTTAAGTTGTGACTGATCAAGCCATCTGTTGTTCTGACTAGTGTGTCACGGCTCTACCTTCCCGGTATCGAGCCCTCTTGGATTTCTGCTGGAATTCACAACAGTGTATATATATGCGAGTTCACAAAGAACGAAACAGCATGCTGTCCGCAGATTGAGTATATATATATATATATATACTCAATCTGCGGACAGCATGCTGTTTCGTTCTTTTTGAACTCATCAGCGCAGCACAGAGGAAATGAGGCCGAACCTGATAGCAATGGAAATAAAAATTTCCAATCAGGCCCGAACGTACCTTGCCAGAGTGCTCAAACTGACAAGTCAGTGAGCTCTGCATAACGCAAACAGCAAAGGCACTACCCCACGCAAGAGTGCTCAACTGCTACAAGAGCAGGAGCGAAATACTCAATCTGCTGACAGCATGCTGTCCGCAGATTGTCCGCTGCTGCTGTCCGCTGCTGTCCGCAGATTGAGTATATATATATATAAATAGAGAGGTAGGCGAACAAAATTTATATACACACAACAACAAGGTTGTAAGTTTCATAACACTAAAAGCTTTTCACCCATTTTCATCAGTAGGTACATGGGAATGAGCAAGAACGAAAACGAAGCCAGAATTTATACTGGGGTAGAGAATCAGCAAGAATATTCTTACGCGCCTCAAGTTCACACTACACTACCATAAGAATGTATGGAGCAGTGGAAAAATGCGGGAAACAACACATGAAGGGAATGCAGTACCAGAACAAACACGTGATAAAGTTGTCAGTCCGGTTGCAGCTTGAACAGCCGCAGCACCTTGATGTGCTTCTTTTGTCGACACAGCTCTGGCCTCAAACTGCGAATGTACAGCGCCTCCAGTGTGAATCTGTGCGCGCTGTTCCGGGCTGGTGTGATCACACTGAAGCTGCTGTTGCGTTCCTGCGGGATGCACTCAGGTTGCGCCTGCAAATGCTTTGTTCTGGTACTGCATTCCCTTCATGTGTTGTTTCCCGCATTTTTCCACTGCTCCATACATTCTTATGGTAGTGTAGTGTGAACTTGAGGCGCGTAAGAATATTCTTGCTGATTTTTTACCCCCAGTATAAATTCTGGCTTCGTTTTCGTTCTTGCTCATTCCCATGTACCTACTGATGAAAATGGGTGAAAAGCTTTTAGTGTTATGAAACTTACAACCTTGTTGTTGTGTGTATATAAATTTTGTTCGCCTACCTCTCTATTTAAATAGATGAGTTCAATGATGAGTTCAAAAAGAACGAAACAGCATGCTGTCCGCAGATTGAGTATATATATATATATATAGAACAATAGAAGTATTTCTTGCGTCGGCAAAAAGTGCTCAATGTCCTAAGACAGAGCGGGGTTATACACTCAGACACAAAGGATCTCCAAGTTTCTCACTGTTGCTAGTCTGAGTTTCGTGCAAAAGCACTCTTCAGGCAACTTACTCTTCTCTCACATCAGTATCCCTTTACATACCAGAAAAGACGAAAAAAAGCACCCTAGGTGGGAATCACAGGTGGAGAAAAGAAGCACGCTAGCCAGTCTAGGTGGGAATCACAGGTGAAGATAAATGTGGCAAGTGTGGTAGTGTGAGCAATCGCGCAGGCCGGAAGGTGTGCATCTGGCGCGTTGCTCCCACCTTGTCCGTTTAAGAGGAAGAACGCCTTCCATCTCATGCGTCTAACAACTGATTCCACCTTGGCTAGCAGGTCCTTCCGATAGACGTCGTCCGGCGGTATCGGGATATTCTTCAGTGAACAGTCAATATTCATTCGTCTTGGTTCGTCCATAGTGTCGCGTATGCGTTGGCAAGGGAGAGTGCTCAACAAAAGAGGAGCGTCTATAGAACAATAGAAGTATTTCTTGCGTCGGCAAAAAGTGCTCAATGTCCTAAGACAGAGCGGGGTTATACACTCAGACACAAAGGATCTCCAAGTTTCTCACTGTTGCTACTCTGAGTTTCGTGCAAAAGCACTCTTCAGGCAACTTACTCTTCTCTCACATCAGTATCCCTTTACATACGAGAAAAGACGAAAAGAAGCACCCTAGGTGGGAATCACAGGTGGAGAAAAGAAGCACGCTAGCCAGTCTAGGTGGGAATCACAGGTGAAGATAAATGTGGCAAGTGTGGTAGTGTGAGCAATCGCGCAGGCCGGGTGGTGTGCATCTGGCGCGTTGCTCCCACCTTGTCCATTTAAGAGGAAGAACGCCTTCCATCTCATGCGTCTAACAACTGATTCCACCTTGGCTAGCAGGTCCTTCCGATAGACGTCGTCCGGCGGTATCGGGATATTCTTCAGTGAACAGTCAATATTCATTCGTCTTGGTTCGTCCATAGTGTGGCGTATGCGTTGGCAAGGGAGAGTGCTCAACAAAAGAGGAGCGTCTATAGAACAATAGCCAAGGTGGAATCAGTTGTTAGACGCATGAGATGGAAGGCGTTCTTCCTCTTAAACGGACAAGGTGGGAGCAACGCGCCAGATGCACACCACCCGGCCTGCGCGATTGCTCACACTACCACACTTGCCACATTTATCTTCACCTATGATTCCCACCTAGACTGGCTAGCGTGCTTCTTTTCTCCACCTGTGATTCCCACCTAGGGTGCTTCTTTTCGTCTTTTCTGGTATGTAAAGGGATACTGATGTGAGAGAAGAGTAAGTTGCCTGAAGAGTGCTTTTGCACGAAACTCAGAGTAGCAACAGTGAGAAACTTGGAGATCCTTTGTGTCTGAGTGTATATATATGAGTATTTCGCTCCTGCTCTTGTAGCAGTTGAGCACTCTTGCGTGGGGTAGTGCCTTTGCTGTTTGCGTTATGCAGAGCTCACTGACTTGTCAGTTTGAGCACTCTGGCAAGGTACGTTCGGACCTGATTGGAAATTTTTACTTCCATTGCTATCAGGTTCGGCCTCATTTCCTCTGTGCTGCGCTGACGAGTCCACAAAGGACGAAACAGTTCTGTCCGCAGATTGAGTATATATATATATATATATACTCAATCTGCGGACAGCATGCTGTTTCGTTCTTTTTGAACTCATCAGCGCAGCACAGAGAAAATGAGGCCGAACCTGAAAGCAATGGAAATAAAAATTTCCGATCAGGCCCGAACGTACCTTGCCAGAGTGCTCAAACTGACAAGTCAGTGAGCTCTGCATAACGCAATCAGCAAAGGCACTACCCCACGCAAGACTGCTCAACTGCTACAAGAGCAGGAGCGAAATACTCAATCTGCGGACAGCATGCTGTTTCGTTCTTTTTGAACTCATCAGCGCAGCACAGAGAAAATGAGGCCGAACCTGAGAGCAATGGAAATAAAAATTTCCGATCAGGCACGAACGTACCTTTCCAGAGTGCTCAAACTGACAAGTCAGTGAGCTCTGCATAACGCAATAAGCAAAGGCACTACCCCACGCAAGAGTGCTCAACTGCTACAAGAGCAGGAGCGAAATACTCAATCTGCGGACAGCATGCTGTTTCGTTCTTTTTGAACTCATCAGCGCAGCACAGAGAAAATGAGGCCGAACCTGAAAGCAATGGAAATAAAAATTTCCGATCAGGCCCGAACGTACCTTGCCAGAGTGCTAAAACTGACAAGTCAGTGATCTCTGCATAACGCAATCAGCAAAGGCACTACCCCACGCAAGAGTGCTCAACTGCTACAAGAGCAGGAGCGAAATACTCAATCTGCGGACAGCATGCTGTTTCGTTCTTTTTGAACTCAT